CACAGCACCTGGTCTACAAAGTGAGTTCCAGGACAGGCTCCAAAGCTACACAGAGGGACCCTGTCTCGAAGAAAAAAAAAAAAAAAAGAAAAGAAAAGAAAAGTAGAAACATATATACAGTATAACAAAAATAACCTTAAATTTGTATCAATATACAAAAATCCTTAACAATGTAAACTATTTGATACTACTGGTTGTTCAAAAGTAGACTCAATAATCCACCCTTTTATCCCATCATTTCTACTACATTTCCCCTTTTTCCCTTCAGGAAGAGGTCCCTGAATCTAATCTCCTTGGTTCAGCTTTTTCCCTGACCATTACCTAAAGATAACAGAATTTTCCCAAGTTCCAGCCCTGAGAAAACTCCTCCCAGAGTCCTGGGGAAGACACTGCATCAGGCATGGGGTATCTGAGGGAAAGGAACCTATGTACACTATGCTCTTTTGTCCATTAACTTTATTCCTCTATGACAAAATTCTGTCTACACAGCTTCGGCTCTGTCCTCACATTCAGCTCCTCTCTGTGCCCAGTTTTCCTGTCCTCATAGTTTTAGTAAGCTCCTATGCTTTTGACCTGATCTTCATCCTCTGTTCCTTTGTCCTCCATCTATCCTTCCTGGCTCCTTACCCCTGATAAGCCCCACAAGAGATCTGCCTTACCCTCTACCAAATCTCTGTCTTCTTCTCCTCTCTCCGGCCACGTGTCTGCCTCTGGAATTCCGCTTCAGTCTTTATTGCCCCTGGTTATGCAAAAAGCTCTATTGTCCTCAGTCAATCTCTCTGCCAAGCCCCTAAGCCTGAAGGAAGGGGATGGTCTGAGCTTCGTTTGTGCAAGAAGCAAAGCTATGCATCTACAGCCTGCTTGTCTCCTAGGCTCAGTGGGGGAGTTAGTTACCTAGAGGTTCAGCAGGTTCAGCAGGTCTGAGAAGCTGGACTGTTTGCCAAATGGTCTAGTAATATATGGGCCCACAAAAAATTCATAGCAAGGTACAGCTGAATATTAAGGCTGTATAACACCAAATATTCCATGATAAATGGCTTCCCATTTGACAGACCCTTGGTTGGTCAAAGTATAGCTTTAATACACAGCTGAATCTCTATAATATATTCTTGTGGCCTGCAAGAATATATTACTAATAACAACTTGTAACCAACTCTCCTAAATGATGACAAACATCCATAACCCACCAAATGACCAAAAACCACCCACCCCACCTCTTGGGAATGTGGGCATCATGTTCTCTAGACTGCTTCCTGTTGTCTGGGGGTGACAACATCTTTAGGGGACCCTGAGAAAATTGAGATCATGGTCAAGTCCTGGGAGAGCTAGCTGTATCATTTGGTGTCCAGTTGCTGTGTAATGGGAAAGTTCAGAGCTTATCTGAAGTCCTGGCTGGAATAGTACATAAGGCTGGACCATTTCAACTAGCAACTTTAAAGTTGTTTTGGATGCAGAATTTTGAGGAAACTGTAACAGAGGCATTCTGAGAGGCTGGATCATCTGGGCTACTTGTCTTCATTGGTGTCTGGTCCTTTATTTTTCTGCAAACACACGAACTTTTAAAGGTAACATACATATCTATATTAACACAAGTATGGAATGTGCAGTGTGCACGAGTCAGTTAAAGATTTTTTATGTTTGAGCAGTAAAAATGAATCTGTTAATTTTATAAGTTTGTTTGGACTGTATAACCAAACCTCTATCCATGTCATATGAAAGGATAGCATGCTATAATAAGTCATGAGGACTCCAGAGTCAACAAGATTTTTCATGTCTCATCCAATCTCAGAGCTGTTCCCATAGTAGAGGGGTCAGCATATTATTACCTGTCCTATAGTCTTTTTTGTTTGTTTTTTTTTTTATGTCTGTAGCCAAGATTTTCAGGAAGTCTCCCCCAATCAAATCTAATCACAATTAACTTTAAAGGAATCCATAGCATTTCATTTCCTATGGAAACAAAACCATAACCTCTCCCCCAATATAACAGCTTCCATTCTGAAGCCAAGACAATTTTAACAGTTTAGCAGTTTCGGTAGTCCAATACTTCTAAGCAGCTATTGTTTTTTGTTCATTAGCATTTTAAAAATTCAAAATCAACAAAACACTATACAGGACTAGACACCCTGTGTATTTCCCATCTTTATATGGCTTATTCCTTTTATATTACTTTACTCTCTCTTTAAAGACTTAATTATTTTTAAACTATTTATTCTTCTATGACTGTCTATACCCATTTTCTTTTCTTTCTTCAGCATCTAAGCACATTTTTAAGCACAGTATATCTGTTCAGAGGTTTTCTGGGTCTGGACCTGACTTTATTGTGTGCCTACCACGTTTCTAATTGTGTGAGACCAATCTCAAACTGCCATGTCAGCCGCTGTGCATCTCAACTTAGCGCATGGCGCTGACAGCTGGCTCCAGTCCACAAACACCAACCAGGAGCCTTGTCTCTGTATGCCACAGCCCACCTGAGAGACTATAGGACTAGGAAGCTGTATCTGGCTCCGTGTTTGCATTTTTGGAACTTTTAAAAAAAGCTTTCTCAGATCCTATGCAGAAATACATGCCCCTATGTTGGACACCATATGTAGCGAGTCTTTCTCTGTCCCACTAGCCAGCTCCCAAACAATGAGACAGAGACTTCTTACTAATTATGAAAGCTCAGCCTATAGCTTAGGCTTATTCCTAGCTATCTCTCATAACTTAAATTAACCCATATTTTTATTAATCTGTATTATATCATGTAGCTTTCACCTCTAGCCCATCTTGCACCTCCTGTTTCCTCCCTGTGTCTGGCTGGCAACTCCATCTTTCTTCTTCCCAGAGTCATCTATGTCCCCAGAAGTCCCACCTAACCTCTTCCTAGCTATTGGCCTTTCAGCTTTTTATTACAACAATCATAACAATACATTTCCACATGTATGCGCAGCTGTATGTACCTGTGTACACGGGCACTCATACCACACAAACAGATAGTGCTTGAGGGTACCTGAGTATGTGAAAAGCAGTTTGAACCTCATACAAACACTGAAACTTTGTCCATCTGAGGCCTCAGTGTCATCTGACATTTGGGTGTAAGGAAAATTGGGAGAGGCTGAGGCAGGATCGGTCATGGACCTTCCAACCCACAAAGTCTAGGCCAATAATGGTTACTACTTTTTTTAACACTTGGTCTGCACAGTTGCATCTAGTAACTGGAAAATACTTCATGAAAACGGGCACCTCCGTGATGTTTGCTGACTCTACCGTGCTCATTTTAAAAACCCAGCTTAAACTAATCAGGGTTGTGATTAGTCAGGTGGCATCTCATTAGCTATTATGTCATCTGCCAGGGGCTTGTTTATGGTAACCATGTAACTATGTATAAAAACGATAAAACAGGAGCTCACGTGTACAAATACTGATGTGAAAAACAGAACTCCTCTGGTGTTCTAGAAGTTCCAGACCCTCCCAAGTGCAGCCCACAAAGGAGATTCTCAGATACGGTTTCTCCATCTCTGCTGGGCTGTCTGGCCTCTAGTTTTAATCACACCACGTGGTAATCATTTTAGTTTTGCCTGTTTCTGACATTTCTATAAGATGGTGAATACAGCAATTTGGTTTCATTGTCTGAGATCATTTTACATCAAGTGGGAAGCTATCCAAATTCACCTAAGGACATCAAACTGTACACAACTGCTCTTGGCCACATGGATGGTTACCAGATGCTCCCAGCATTGCTATAGAGGGCATTACCACCATGAACATTCTTTTCCACATTTTCTGAGCCATGTAAGCTTTTTCCAAGTAGTTAAGGCAGCAGGTTTAGGACAAGAGGTAAACTACCAAATCATACATGTTTGCACAGGTTGAATTTGGTTAATGCTAGGATTTGTGGCAAAGACACACACCATCATTCCCTTCACTTCCGGTGGGTGACATTGTTATTACTGTTATGGGAGTGGGCTGCACAGGAAGAAGGGATATAGGAAGTAGTGGGCTTCCTCATCATGGAGACATGGGAACAAACACCATGTTTCCTGGGGTAAACTCTGGAGTGTCATGATAAGCAGTTGTGACTTGGCGTCAGGGGATGCCATTCTAAGCCCAACTCCAAAGGATGCCCTGAGGCATGGCAGGACCCTGGAGTTCTAAATGGGAGGAATTGGTCCGTCAGGGCAAACCCAGCCACATTCCTAATTCTGTGTAACTCGCTGAGAGAAGACGCCCAGTTGGTTTGACAGTGTTTATCCTAGTAACGGAAATAGACCCACAAGCTCAACTGTGACAGCAGCATACTGGTGCTTATTAGATGCAAATGAGATGCTCTGTTGAACTACCTTTCTTGCAATTCAGGCCCTAAACTGGTTCCTATAGCTGTGCCACACCATTATGTGCCCGGGTGCTGCAAGCCTTTTAATTTCTGGTCGGAGAGCTTGCACTACCTAGATTAGCCAGCAGAGGGTGGTACAGCACCATCTGGGTCCACCCTGAGCTTGACCACCGCTTGTGGGAATGGGGGAAAGTCTCAGTGTTGCTAAGTCCCACAGGAAAGAGGGTTTCAGGGACTGGGATGGCTCTCCTGCGCTCTCCCTGACAACAGGTTTCTGTCAGTCTTGAAGCCTATCTGCAGCTAACAAGGGATGACTGTATAGAATTTTCAAAATGCATAGGGAAATTTGTTTTACGGCACAATACCAAATTTCTTGTTTAGTGACATGAAATCTGACCACCTTTGAAATAAAATCTGAAAGTTTTCATTTATTTAGAATGATCCTGAACAGTGTCAAATGCAGCCCAATTCCATGCGTTCTTTTTTTGTTTGTTTTTATTTTTGTTTTTGGAGACAGGGTTTCTCTGCGTAGCTTTGTGCCTTTCCTGGAACTCACTTTGTAGCCCAGGCTGGCCTCGAACTCATAGAGATCCGCCTGCCTCTGCCTCCCGAGTGCTGGGATTAAAGGCGCGCGCCACCACTGCCCAGCCCATGCGTTCTTATATAAAGCAGACACCAAGCCGCACAATGGGATATGAAAAATAGATTTATTGGCCAGTAGTTGCAGAGGCTCGTCCTGAGAGTCAAGGACAAGAGCCTCAGGTCCTCCCCAGGCTCTTTTTGATGAAGTGGCCCACCAGCCGCTGAGGCCTCTGCTGGTATTCCACCAGCACGTCATGGGGGGTGTTGATCTGGTCCCCTTGCAGTCGGTCCAGGAGGGTGACACACACCACAGCCGCTGCAAAGAGCAAAGGTCTCATCAAGGCAGAGTCAGACACCTTCCTCAGCTCCCCAAGGAGGAGCGCCAGGTCCAGGGAGTGCAGTGTGCAGGCCAGGGACGGGAGGGAGGGCTGTGTGGATGACCATGGAGGAAGACACACCCTCTGGCAACTCTGGCAGGTCTCCACTCTAACCTATGGACTTTGCCTTTGTTGCCAAAAGAAATTCCAGCCAGTTCCAGGGCCAGCTCCTGGCTGCCCCATGCAGCCCTGCAGGATATATGTTGTCCCAGACCATGGGGCATAGTTCTGAGAGCTAATATTTAATTGAAAGGATGCTCAGGTCTAGACAATAGGGTGGATTAGTCTTCAGAGAGCCACGTTCTTGGCAGGGCTGGGGCAGCTTCTTTCTATGTGAGCTGGAATAGCTCATCACCGTCTTTGTTACCCTTCTCAAGGGGCTGGGAAATCACTGCAAGAACACTGAGGACCCAGTGTTTTGCTGTGTGACAATGAAGACATTGTACGTGTACCAGGGCTGCAGGGGATGACACCTTGGCCAAAAGCTTGACCACGGCAGACACAAGTGAGAAATCAACATTGCCGCGATCCCAGGAGGCGCCTGCTGTGATGGGCCAGCGAAAGAGCCAGAGAAAGGACCCCGAGGCCATCCCGCATCTTCCTACCTCTCAGGCCACAGGCACTGCACATGGTGGCAAACAACGAAGATTCCATCTCGATGTTTCGGACACCAGCGGCATGGGCTGCCTGCAGATAGGCCTGCTTGTCCTTCTCTGTGTAGGAGCAGAGGGCACCATCCAGACGGCCTTGCCCTGCAGCACACGAAGACGGGAAAACCATACGCACACAGTCAGAGCCTACACTTGGGCACCATGTTATAAATGCCATCAGGACACAGGGATGCGGGCGGCCCTCCCGGTCCCTGCCTGTCTTCAAGGGGTAGATAGCTGCTCCAATCATTATTACAAATACTGTGACTGGGTTAGCAGCCCACATAAAGGTGCCCCACCAGAGACAGCACCACACCATCACAAAGTGGGCTTGGGGTGGGCAAGGGGTCCCTGGACCCGCCACGCCCTCACTTCCGCTCACCCTCATAGAAGTCCAGGGTGCACATGGTGTTGCCCACAACCGTGGGGAACTCATGCAGGTCCGAGGAGCACTGCAGCAGTTCCTGCACCAGCCGTGCATCCAGGTTGGTGCTGCGGACCACCCGCTTCCCCAGGACAATCTGCTCAAACTCCGGCTTGAAGCACTCATCCACTGCCTGCTGCGTGATGACTACAGAGCCAGGCTCCAGACCTGAGAGAGGAAGGCACGGGTGTCATGCTTACACAGGGTGACAGAGCAGCGCAGCAGAGAACAGGCACAATGGCCGTGATCCATCGACCCAGCTAAGTACCGAAGTACCCCAGCATATGCTCAAAGCCCTCCGTCCCTTTTCCCAGTCAGAGCTTTTCCTAGCTGGGATTTTGCTTGGAACCGTTGCTGTAAGCAACGAAAAGCAAAGAACAGCAATCCCACCAGGGGTCGCTGTACCCTTTACCAAAAGTCTGTCTTCCAGGCATTGCCACTGACTAGCATTCCTCCAACTAGGTGACCATGATGTTAGTTTAATCATTCCAGATTATCTTTACTTTGTAAACTTTCAACCAGATCCAAAAGCAGACAAAGTATAGAAAAACCACATGTGCCTTACAAACAGCCTCAGTCCTTTCCAGCTCCTGACTAACTTGTTTTTCTCTGCTCCCAGCAACAGCCATCTCTGCAGGGTCTACATTGGAGGTGTGCCCTCCTGGAGCACCTGCATGTTTCTAAGGGTAATACCCTGCTCTTCTTTCCCAGTTGGATATATATTTCTTTTTGGTTTTTCGAGACAGGGTTTCTCTGGGTAGCTTTAGAGCCTGTCCTGGAACTCACTCTGTAGACCAGGCTGGCCTCAAACTCACAGAGATCCACCTGCCTCTCTCTCTCCCAAGAGCTGGGCTTAAAAGCATGGGCCACCATGCCTGGCAGGTTTATGTTTTCTTATACAATGTGACCACTGCTAGGGAGTTTGAAATCCTACCTTCCAAGAGCAATGTATGAAGACCTGGATGCCTAAATCTAAGGCTATACTGGAGCAGATACAGTCTCCTATCAATGGCCTTGTGTTCCTGGTGGGAACGAAAATTTCTAGAGACTAGTTACTACAGTGACTTTAGTTCCTTAGTGTCAAATAAGAACTTGCTTCAGACTTTTACTTACTTACGCTATGGTATGTCACTGCCCAACACACACACACACACACACACACACACACACACACACACACACACACACCCCTGAAAGATAATCCCCACTATGAACTAGGAAGACTTGGGACTGGGTGAGGCCTGTGAGAAGGGACTGGTGCTCTGCTCTAAAGGCTGGATGAACTCATTCACTGAAATTGATGGTGGATGAGTGGTGGAGGCTGGGGCAGAACTCCCTGTCTCACATACATGATGAACCCAACCCCTGTGCCATCCCTAGACTCTACCAGGAAGGCTTTACTCAGCCATGGGCCACAGTCATGAGCCCAAGCAGACCTTGTCTTTATAACTGAAAATAGACCAGAGCAAATCAACAGTCTCCAGCGTTTTGCAGTCTCCTTCAAGACCTCTTCTGTAAGATCAGACGTTATCTCAAGATGGAGACGAAAGAAATATGGAGCAATGATTTCCTAAGCACAGAGTTTCTGTTTTGTGTGATGGAAAAGCCCCACAAACGGATAGTAGTATCAGGACATAATATTATGAATGTAATAAATCAATACAATTAATGTAATTAATAAATATCATAAATATAGTTATTGAATCAATACTGCAAATGTAAACAATACCACAAATGTAATTAATATCATGAGTGTAATTAATGAATATCATTGAGTGTAATTAATATCTTGAATGTAATTCATGCCACTGAATTGTGAACTTAAAAATGGTTACAACTGCAAATATTATGTTCACTTAAAAAAAATAAGGCAGAATGTAATCACCATACATTATGTGTATGAAGTTGAAGACAGCAATGTTCTAAAATAGAAAGTGATGGTGTCATGGGCCTATGAAGATGCTGGACTAAAGTCTATCAAATTGTGCAAACAGGCAAATTGTATACTATGTGAATTATTTGTCAATAAAGATTTTATAAAATGTAAAAAAAAAAAAACCAAAGGAAAAAAACTCTTCTTTGCTTCTTAGGTTGTTTGTCTGTGGGCTTTTGTGGGGGGAGGGGTTGTTGGTTGGTTTTTAGTTTTTGGTTTGGCGTTTTTCGTTTTTTTGCGGGGGGGAGGGGGGGGCAGGGAGTGTCAATGATTAGGAACTTCTGAGCTAATTTCAGTCCCCTTTTGTTAGTTTTGTATTCCACCCCCCAATACACACTCTGATGGAATGAGGAGATAGGCAGAGAGGAAGGCCCTTGAACAATCCCCAGTGTATTCACACCATCTTGGAGCAGCTGCTGGGTTCTGGCCCCTCCTCCACCCCACCCACCACCCACCACCCACCACCCACCACCCCCGGGCCAGAATCAATCCTCAGGCCTCACCTATCCCGCCCGAAGTGCCGATGCGGATGATGGTGATGTTGGAGCACCTGGCATGGTACAGCAACTTGATGAGCTCATGCAACATGATCCCGATGGAAGGGATGCCCATGCCATGCTGAAACCAGAGAGAAAGCAGCAGCGGCTCAGCCCAACATTGTGCCTTCATCAACGCATGCAGAACATGTCCCTCCAACAAAGGACCCACCCTCCATCCCAAGTCGTCCAAAGACAACAACAAAGCTTTGCACAGAATGAGACTGAGAGGGAGAACATTCACATAACTCATTGTATTATACAGCTATAATTATTCTGCTGTGTTAGTCATTATTGCCACTCTTTTGCTATACCTGGTTCACAACTAAAATGCATCATAGGCTTATGTCAATAAAAGGAGTGCTATTTGTATTGATCGGTTTTGTTACACTTCTGCCTTGAGACACATCCTTTGGAACAAAGCCCGTGTGGGGAAGGAGATTACTGTACGTTTTATGTGGTGTACTTCCACTAATAAAATCATCATGTGGAAATGGACAGGCTTCGAGTATTAACAGAGCTGTGCTATACATGACCTGCCTCACTTGACTCACACGGCCTTCAGAGCAGAAGGAAGTAGCCGCGATCAATAAGTAGCAAACACTGCTTCCTGACAGTTGAGGCCATGCACAAAGGCCCACCATACTAGATAAGGCTTGATCACAGCACTTTTCTCTTGCCCTCTCCAGTTTAGCGAAACAAGGCAACCGGCTGGTTCCTCAATCCCCGACATCAGGCACTCTACTGACACTGCACTTGTGCCTTGGCCATATCCTCCTTACCTCTGCAATGCAACCCCACTCCACACGCCTTTCAAAGACCCTCCGACACTCACATCTCCTATCCCCGGGCGGGTGCTGTCCCTATGGCAGAGCCCTACAGCAAAGGGACCCACCCCTTTCAGAATGTCAAAGCCAGGAAATGCTTCCACAAGATGCCTTTGCTATCAGGTGTTTCTACGTGACTGATACGCTTGGAGGTCTAGCTGACTAGTGTCAAGACACACATCTCAACAGGAAAGGGATCCACCACTGAGCTGTAGTTCTTCATTATATTATTGCCAAAGGAAATCAAACGTTAGAAAACGATCCCTTAGATAGGATACTGGAGATTTTTCCATATTCACTTTTATTGCTCACACAACTCGTGTTATAAAGCAGGCCAGTCACTGTGAGATAGGAGAGGCATGGAGACCTGGCATGTGGCTCTTCTTACAGCCCTGGGCCAGGCAGGGAAGCCCTCCTCAGCACCTGCCACCCCTACACAGAGTGAACAGCTGTGCATATTTACATGTGTATCTGCTTTTGTATACCGAGGCTATCCAGGAAGCTAAGCCTTAAGGGCTGGAGCCTAGGACTTACTCAGGCCCAGATCCCAGCTGCTGGGAGCTCACTACGCTCCCAGCCATTTACAGTAAACAAATGATAGGGTGCCAGCTGTCCAACTGTTCACACACAAAGGAAGAAGTGCGGGCACAGGGCCTTGCAGAACATGGAGACCAAATCCAAGTGAAAAGCAAGTACTCACGCTCACAGACAGCACAGGTCCGACTTTATACATGGCGTAGCGGTCAGTGCCTGCACAGATGTTGGGATACTCTTTCCCTGGATGGTCAAGGCCCAGTTCGGCAGCCACATACCTGATGAAGGTACTCATCCGGGAAGGGCTTCCACCAACACACACGAACTGAAACCAGAGAATCGGGACCTCATCAATACCTGGCGTCACTAGAGGTTCTTCAAATCAACCGGCAACATTGGGGTCATCTGGGAACTTTCTAGCAAGTTTTCGGGCCTGACCTGTACTAAGTGTATCTAAGGCGGTGAGCAATCAACTTCCCTGGGGAGTTTTTAGTAGCACTGGCCTAGGACTGACCGCTCAGGACAGGCACCCTGAGCACAGTGCAGTCACCTCCACACACGCAGGGACCCAGACTCTTGCTGTCTCTGAAAAGGCATCAGGCACCATCCTTGGCCTAACACACCAGGTGGGAGGCAGTCTAGGGTGCTAGAAGGGAATTTGGGTTGAGATTGAGATGGTTGGAATCCCTCACCTCATGTGACCAGAGTCCTATGACCCAGTGTTAGAATGGGCCACCAGTCACTCTCCCACTTGGTCACCTGAGTGGTAAAAAATAGCAGGCCAGTAGGGGGTTGGGCATTTGTAAGTGGAGGAGACACTTTTATTTTGCTAAAGAATAGTAAATAGTGAAAAAGTGATTTAATGGAATCTGAAGATAAAAGAAATAAATGCATCTCTAAATTTGAAAGGACATTTCCATGGCCTGTAATAAAAAGAAGATTAGCAATATTGGAATTAATGGAAATTCAATGAATTAGTGAAATATGAAAGCTGCCCACCATTGGCTACCAAAGGTGAGTTCTACCTGTGGCAGAGGGGGCCCAGCTTCAGTGTTCTGAGCCTATCTTGGTTTTTAATTCAGTGTGTTAATTCACCTTCATCAAGATTAGACACTAAAGAGTCCTGTTTTAGCAGTATGGGAACTGTAGTTAACACAACTGTAACTCTAACTGTGAACTGCAAGACAGCCAGTAGATAGGACCCTGAGTGTTCTGCACCCGAAGAACGATCCGTGCCTGAGCTGTGAACGTGGTGCCGCCCACTCTGCTTGTCACTTCACATCACAGACATGAACTGAAACGTCACCCTGTTCCTTGAAACGGTGCACACATACTTAGGTGTCAATTAGAAACAAATCTTAACAAGGAATTTTATAAAAATTTCAGAAAATTAGCACTGAGAAATGAACACTATATGGGAGGTGTCTTCATCAAAATTGTCCCTCAGATATCATCAATATACATCTTCAACTACAAGCACTGATCATACAGACTCTCCATACTGACACTGTACCTCTTGGAAGTCCTCCCCAGCTCTCTACATTGTCTAGGCTGCCAGCAAACTCCTGAGATGAGGTGATTCTCTGCCTCAATCTTTGGCGTTGCAGCAACTCTAGGCATAGGCCACTTTGTATGGTTCAGGAGAGTCACATGCTGTTCACTCCCATATGAAAATTCTAAGAAAGTCGGGAGGTGGTGGTGCAGGCCTTTAATCCCAGCACTCGGAAGGCAGAGGCAGGTGGATCTCTGTAAGTTCGAGACCAGCCTGGGCTACAGAGTGAGTTCCAGGAAAGGATCCAAAACTACACAGAGAAACCCTGTCTCAAAAAAAGAAAACAAACAAACAAAAAGTTCTAAGAGATGAAGTAGAGGCCTACAGAGCAGTAGTTAACACTTGTTCTCTTTGACTTGCTAATTCCTATAAATAAAAGGTAACAATGGCAATAGTCTGATAAAGATAGAATGTAGTCCTGCCCCCTGTCGATTCATCTGCAAGGAGGTGAGCGGCACCAAAGTGGAAGTTAACTGTAAGACAATCCATAGAATCAAAGTCTGGGCTTTTTACCTTCACATCTCCAAACATAGCAGGGAAATCATGTGTGCTAGTGCTGAGGTTGAAATGGTAGAGAACGTCTTCCTTCATTGTTGCTATGTTTGGATTTGAAAGTTGAACAAAGCAGTCACTGTTAGAAACAAAAAGTGAAAGGTTTGTAGAACACGAGTGTGCCACGGCCAGCATTACCACAAACATGTTCCGTATTCATGAGGTATGTGAGGGACACGATGGGGAAGAGACACGAGCAGATTCTAGGGGAAGACAACCCTACATTGCCAGGGTCTCTACCTCCCTTTCTCCTTCCTTTTAACCCCTCTTTGCTCCTAGAGCGCTGTTTGAAGGCAATCAGCAAAATCTCAGAAGAGCAAACAAAATTATAAAGATCAAATTGATAAATGATCCAACACAAAGAATGCTATTTGATATCCAAGTCATTTATATTCAATACATAGACTTGAATGTTTTGAAAATAATATAATCACTATTGGAAATGTAGACAGAAATAGAAAAAGTCTCCACTATTGCCAGAACCTTTCCAACCTGGATGCCTATAATTTTTTTTTGTGTGTCGTGTTGCATTAGCTACCACTTCTCAGAACCACAACACTAAGAGTGTCATGAAGGGTTGAAGAGATGGCTCAATGGTTTAGAGCAGGAGGACCAGAGTTCTAGGCCCAGGACTCACATGGTGGCTCACAACCATCTACTACTCCAGTTCCAGGGAATCCACCACCCTCTTCTGGCCTCTAATGGTCACATACGTCATGCAGGCAAAACACAAAGTAAACCTTAATTTTTTTTCTTAAAAAGATTGTCATGATATAACATCCTACCATTTTGCATTTCTGAAGGCAACTGCAACATTTTGTATGTGGTTCAAATGACTTTTACAGGCTAACACGTGCTTCTGCTCTAAAGGAAGGTTGGCAGACTTTATTTCAGAAGGCCAGATGGTACATATGTCTATAGGCCATTATGCTTCCGTCACAAGTCTGCCATTTGTCTCCTGAAAGCAACAGAGACAAGGAGGGCAAACACATGCTCTTATACTTCATTCAACTTTGATTTACAAACACAGGAACCTGAAGACGAGGTCATTCCAGCTCGACCCTGGCCAAGCTTCCTCAGAGCCACACTTCAACACAGCTGCCTCAACAGTACATGCCTTCTGATTTCCAAATAGGTTCTCCTTGGCAGGATGAAGGCCAGTGTAGGGCCTTGAATATGGAGCCATCATGAGTACTATTCCTTCCTTCTGAGTCTGACTTTCTGCCCAGAACCAACTAGTGACACTTTCTCTTCAATCTAACTCATGAGAAAAAGGTGAGAAAGTAATGATCCAGAGATCACTGCAATAAAGAAATACTGATGATCTTGACTTACGATGATTTGAAAATGCTGTGTGTTGACTTGAGTTATGGACTTTTCCCCTGAAAAGTGCTGCCAAGCTGTTGGGGGAGTTCGTTGTACTAAGTCAAGGCCATGATGGATTTGTGGGGATGGAACCCTGTTGTTAGCCAAGGGGATCTGTGCCATTTCAAAAAGGGCTTTTGCCCTCCTTCCAGAGCATTCTCCCCTGTTTTGTTCACTAATTTACTTTTTTTTCTGGACATCGGACCTCACTGTATTCCAGATTGGCCTCAACTTGCTATATAGCCTTGAACTTCTTATCTTCCAGCCTCTCCCTTCTCAGTGCTGGATTATAGGTACATGCCATCATGCCCATTTTATGTAGTGGTAGTGACAGAACCCCTGGAGTATGAGGCAAGCAAGCCACTCCCTCAGTTCCTACTTCTTTTTCTTTAGACAGGCTGCATTTTGTAGGCCAGAATGGCCTTGAACTCAGTACACCTGCCTTGACCTCCTGAGTGCTGGGATTACAGGCATATGCAATGAATCTGGCTATCTACATTTTGAGTTTAGAAACATTTATACAATTAACCTAATTATAATGATCAAAATCTCCTGGAGGCTATGCCATGTCCTCTCTCTCTCTCTCTCTCTCTCTCTCTCTCTCTCTCTCTCTCTCTCTCTCTCACACACACACACACACACACACACACACACACACACACACACACACACACAGATGCACAAGGTTGAAGGCTGAATCAGACCTGTTCTGACTGATTTATTTCCTCTAGTCCCCACTGCTTTTTTTTCTGGTAGGCAACCTCAAGGGCAGACATTGAAGACTCCCTCTTCTCCCTTGGCCCTCTCTGCCCACTTCCATGTTTCTCAAGCCCCTCTCCAGTCTATGCCCCTAGAGTGGTGTCCAGACACATGAAACGTTAAGATTGCTATATAAAAGATAAGCATAGCATAAGACTCAGGAGAAAGTCAGAGCTCTCTCAGAAAGGGAGTGAGTGGTGGGTTCATGGACTACTTCATGAACAGTGTTAGAGATCCACAGCACACACACCAGTCATACATGCAGGGCCACTGCTGACCTGAGCTGTAAACCTTGCTAAGAAAGAGCAAGCAACCTGCCCAAGGCACAGAGTGTGCCCACCTGCTGACCCCATTCTCCTGGTAGATTTCCTGGCAGTCTTTTATTAGGGCAAGGAAGCCCTTTCTTGTGGGACCAAATGCAGGGCATGTACAGCTAGACTTTCCCAGAAATCATTTTTGATCTCTGGGCCAATCTGAAATTCCATCATAGCACACCCTTCAGGCCCTTAACCATATCCTCCTTCAGGATGTGGCAAATATGGAACACAAAACAGAAAGACCAACTTCTTGCTTCAAAATGACACAACAGGACGTGATTAAGACAGCGTGGCCACACACAGAAAGCCTTTTTTTTTTTTTTTTTTTTTGGCTTGTCAATTCCAGGAAAAGCAGAGGGAGGAGCGTAACCATGAGAACAGCCATGATTTAAAAATTCATTAACTCTGACATGTACTTGAGCCAGAACAGCCTCCAACACACAGTTTAAAGGATTCAAAATAACAAGTCGGAGACAAAAATCTTTAATCTACCTCAACTTCAATTGTACTGATCATGCTTTATTGTTACCTTATTCATTTACTAAATATTCATGGAGGGCTGACTACGGAGGCCACACTTTTAAGCAGGACGGGAACTACCTCACAGAGCCCCAGCAGATGGTGGACAACCCTCAAGTGGGGACAGGAGAAAGGCTCAGTGGACTTCAGACCCATGTGGGAGGTCTCAGGGTAGAACATGTACTCACTACGGCGTGCTCAAAAGCCTGGGTTGGATGTGCACGAATATACACATGCACACTGGAGTCAGAGAAAGACACAGACGGTTAGCTCTTTACTAGAGTCTACACCTAAGAAAGCTCAGGAAAAGCACACACTTGAATTATGAAAAATTACAATGCAGGGAGAAAAAAAAATCTTTCAAGGTTCAGAAATGAGACTGAGCTAGGAGATACACGGTGGATTTTGTCTTAGAAAAAATGCCACCGATAGAAGAAAACCTGTGAGACCCGTATCTGAGCACTGAACTGCCTGGTCTTCTAAGCCTAACGGCTAAGGATAGACATCCCTGGACCTGAATATTTGTGAAGTCCTTCCAAGCCCTTCAACCCTCCCTCACTGTCGTGAGCATCGCATGTTAACATATGTAAAGAATTTTGAAAAATGAGTTGATTAAAGGAGGTTTAATAGAACCCACACAACTCAGCCTGAGTCAGTCTTACTTGTGATGGTTTTCGAGGTCCTTGGCTTCAGTTCCTTTAGCCGCCATCCTCTCACTGTGGCAGGACCTAAAGGAGAAAAACATCACACGCAACATAATCAACCCAAATGGAACTAGCGTGGTGTGAGGTGTCACTCATGGGGGAAGTCTGTGCAGAGAAGCAGAATTCTTCACACTTTCATCATGTACATTATGGAAATGCATACTATTTACACTGTGTATGTGTGCTCATGTGGGTGCACACATGAGTGCACACGTGAGTCCACATGGGTGGATCTCACACTTGTGCATTTTAGGAATAAAGTTCAAGTTTCCTAGCATCCCATCCCAGCAACAGTCAGGAAGTCTCTGACCCTACCAACCACACCCTTCTGCCTCGCCGTTCTGGAATCTTGAACATCCTCTTCCTGTTTCAGGACAGCAGAGGTTGCAGGGATTTGAACAGAGGTGGAGCAGCTACCAGCTCCAGAGGATGCAATTGAGAGGGAAAGGACTTGAAGCTGATGTGGCCGACTGCTGCCAGCCTGGGTGCAGAGCCTGGGGGGGAGGGGGGGGGGAGGGGAGTGACAGCATGCACAGTCACTGCTACTTCCTTGGTAAGGAAAGCGGAGCATCAGGAAGAGCCCATGGGTCACAGGCCACTCGGCAAAACTGCAGGCTGTATCCAAGCATTTCTCGAACCTGATCTGAAAAATCCCTTTGCTAGGAAACATATTTATAACTGTTATCATCACATATGGATTGTTTCAGTAAAATTTGCAAACCAGGAAAAATCCCAGTAGAGTTGGTTCCGGAGCAAAAGTCCCTCTGCAATTGGTGCTTGTAACCTCTTCATCTGGCTTTTGTTGTAGCTTGGCACCGGTGGCACGCTTGCCTGGAAATGCCAGCTTGTTGCTGTCCAACCAAGGGAGCCAAAGACCGAGTGAGTTCTATTGTTTTTGTTATGGCAGTATTGAGGGTGGAACCCAAGGAGGTCTATGCGCCAGGCAGGTGCTCACTGAGAAACATCACTATGCTGGGAAAGAAGTATCATCCCTCACCCTGCAATCCCAACATTCCCAAGTCAAGCACGGTGCAGGGAAATGAGCACTTATGACTGACTAACAGGGGAGGAGAGCAGCTTTGCCTGGCAGTGTTGCAGGGAGCACAGAGCTGGTGGGTAGTGAGAGAAGTGGTCCCTATGTTATCCCTCAGGACTGGATGCTGGCTCACAAGGAGGCTTTCAAAAAAAAAATTGACCTTTACATTATTTTATTGGGGAGGGGCATGGGCATGCCACATTGTATATGTGGATGTCAGAGGACCAAGTCGTGGGAGTCAGCAGTCTCCTTCCACTGTGTGTTTTGGAGATCAATCTCAGGTTCAGGCTTGGCAGCAACCATGCTTACCTACTGAGCCATCTTGCTGGGGCCACCTATCACTTTAACGGCACAGCACATTCTAAAGTTTGCTTGGGTAACATGATTAGCATGTAAGATTTAAGAGTCAGAGACCCCAGAAAGCACGACAGCACTGCCGGCCTCAGTTAAGGAATATGTGAAACTCTGCAAATCAATGAGGTCACAGTTAGTGCCTGGACCCTTGCCTTGTGTCCACGGGATTCAGCAGGTGCCTAGTGTCAAAATACCTCTGGTGTGGTGCTTTGCATGAAAAGTGTCCCCCATCGTCTCAAACATTTGAACACCTGGTCCCTAATTTATGGCACTGTTTGGGTGGCTCAGGTGCTAAGGCCTTGCCAAAGGAAGTAAGTCACTGGGGGCAGGCTTTGACACCAAAAGCCTCATGCCCTGCTCTCTGCTTCATATTTACAGTTCAAGATGGAGACTCGGTTTCCTACCCCTGCCTCTCTCTACAAAGGCTGCTTGCTGCCCTGTGCTCCTGACATGGTGGTCTTTGCCCCTCAGGAACTGTAAGCTCAAATAGACTCTGCTCTAAGTTACCTGGGTCAAGGTGGTTTATCTCAGCAACAGAGCAGTCACTGATGGAACGAATGGGAAATCAAAACTGTGGGGATTCGGAACCAGGTGGTTTGAGCATGGACAACCCGATCTGGACAAAATGAGACGGCCTCAATGGATTCCCTCACCGCAGAGTGGAACTGGTTACTACCTCCCAGCCCTAGCCGGACTTCCACCCCGTCTCAGGAAAAAAAAAAATAGAATAAATTGAGTGAAACTGCAGGAGACTGTCCCTAGGCTCCTTCCAATCCCAATGCATTGTCTCAGGTCACTCCCCTGACAACCATTCACAAACTCTCAAAGCTGCCTTCGGTTCCTGCTCTTGTGGTGAGGTTAAGCAGCTGGGTAGACAGAAACCTGTGGGGTTTTTGCACTTTGGTCTTCTTTCGGCATATGAATAAACATGCACGTCCTTTCTCCTGTTTAATCTCCCCTGATTTTGTGAGTGAACCTTGAGGAGGCACGAGGATAATGTCCCTTCCCCTCTAGAGCATGTCCGGCTGGGAAGGGATGGAGACACAGCACACTGTGAACCTGCATGCAGCATGTGTGACACGACACACCAAGCAAGCCAGGACATGAATGCAGGAGAGAGAGGGAAGGGAGCCAAGAAACCGAGAACACAACCAGAGGCCAGTCTCTTGAGAATAAACAAATACAGGCATTGGAAGGTAAAACCAGCATGCTCTTAGATGGATAGGATGGGTTCCTAATGCTTCCAGGCTGTCAATCAGCCTAGAGAAGTGGCAGGTAGAATGAAACCAGCAGGCACCACAAGGGGACCCGCAGGCCAGTCAGCTTCGGGCCCTTAACCTGTTACTAGCCACCTTTCCAGCACCGTGGCCAAAAATGCCTGACTTAGGAGCGTGCGTTTATCTTGGCTCACCGTTTTAGAGGGTCAGCCCATGCATCCTGGTAGGCAAGGGTAGCAGAGCACAGATGTTCTCATCAAGTAGAGCCAAGAAGCCAAGAAGGGAATACTGCAGCTTTGCCCCTTCTGTGACAACATCTGGGCGCCAAGTCAGGGGTTTGATGGCACCCACATTCAAGGCAGTCTTGCCCTCTGTAATCCTCAGGTAACACCTCACAAGCACAGGTAAACATGAGCGGCGCCTCACCAATACCCTAGACGATTTGAAAAGCAGTCTGCAATGAAGACTAACCATCACCCCTATAGAAACCATGCCAATAACAGCTTTGCTGAAAAACACCCATTAGGCCACATGGCCAGGAGAATTTACAGAAGAGGGAACACTTACATTCAAACCAAGAGGGTGGGGTCCAAAATGACTCTAATGACAGAGGGTGAGATGTTGTCACTCAGGGAAAACCCATAAAATGCCCCTCACAGGAAGTCCCTAGAATCACTCAGGTGTCAGATAACCTGTGAACACAAAATCACAGCACGTGGTCTACCCTACATTGAGATTTGCTAGTCCTCCCACCCCAGAGGGTGGGGTGGGGGTCACACAGACAAGCAAAATGTCATTAGCTTCCCTCTAACTTGCTAGAGATCAGTGGCATGTGGTCTGTGACAACAGTTGCCCAGTTTACTTTGGAAACACGCAAAGCACCCTTCCACTCTAAACCCGTTTCAGGATAAGAGCCCTGGCATCTCTCTTGTATTGTGTCTGTCCCTCAGCTGTCTTAACCCTTGGATCAAATCCTTCTCAGCTTGGCAAGTGGACACATTGGAGAAGTGTTTTCATCCCGGGACTTAACACAGAGTTTACTAGCAATGTATCCCCATGTTATGCTTTCTAGGCAGTGGAGTATCCACAGTCCCTCAGCCTTAGAGGCCCAGACAGAATGACAGGGGCAGGACATATGCAAGACAATAATTCAGCCTTTCCTGGATTGACTTACCACTCATTAGCCTCAAACCTCAAAGCGAGCTGCTTGAGCAGAGGAAAACATCTTTTGAAACCACACCCGTGACCAACAATTACCAAACTCTAGCCCAGCCCAGAAGAATCCCAGGGAGCTGCTTCTCACGTGCTCAGAAGGCTCATCTCTGTCCATGCTTGGGCTGGGGCTGAAGCCAGTCAGCTAGGGCTCCCACCATTCCCATGCTCTAAGATGCAGCTGTCGGTGTCAGACAAAGGACTCTTGACAAACACAAAGCCCATGACACCACAGAGAAGGAATCCTTTACTACAGAAGGCTAACGACTTAGCAAGGCCAGGGGCAACCAAAACACAGATCACAAGAGGTGATCTCCAGGCAGCTGTGTGCCCTGAGTACCTGGAGGGGACAGGGAGAAGGAACTTCGTGTCTGTTAGACCCGTATGGACAGGTTCATAGTAAACCCCAGTCGTTGTTTTGATTTGGAAATGGATCCTGAAGACCCACCTGTTGTTACAGCTTGGTCACCAGCTGTAGTATCATTGAAAGGTGGTAGAAAATTGAGGAGGGAGAGTCTTGTGGGAGGAAGTGAGGCCATCAGGAATACTGGAACCGCCCCCCACAGCCTCCCCCACATTATGGTTCCTGGCCACCATGACTCAGAACAGACCTCTTTCACTATGTATTTCCACCAAGATAGACTGTATGACCACGGGCCCAAAGCAACAACCATGGACAAAAACCTCTACAACAGTAAGCCAAAATAAACCCTTTGTACCTTTAACTGGATTTTTTCTTGGGATTTTGCCATAATGACAGAAAACTGACTTACACAGTGACATAAAATTGAGCGGAAGCCACCCAAGTTCCTGGAACCCCTTCTGCCTAAAAGCAAAAGTTCCCCAAACAACTCAAGCTTCCCCAAGATCCGGTAATCTTCTAGTGAAACGATGCTGTACCCAAACAGCCGCTGTCACCAAACTAGCACCCTTCCCATCTGCCTTTCTGAAGTCCCAGTTAAGCTTTTAAGATCATCTGAGTCATTTAGAGCGGAGTGGGACAGGACATAGCTGTCAACCCCGCACTCAGGAGGCTGAGGCAGGAAGATTACTTACATCCCCAGGGGGGGCAGCCTATAGCGCAGAATGAGTTCAAGATCACCCTGGGCTACAAAGCAAAAAAAACAAGGAGTGTGCAGGGGAAGCGGGCAACAACACGTCTGACAAAAACAGACCAGCGCCGGGCGGTGGTGGCGCACGCCTTTAATCCCAGCGCTCGGGAGGCAGAGGCAGGCAGATCTCCGTGAGTTCAAGGCCAGCCTGATCTACAGAGCAAGATCCAGGAAAGTCGCAAAGCTATACAGAGAAACCCTATCTAGAAAAACCAAAAAAAAAAAAAAAAAAAAAAAAAAACCAGACCAGCAACAACAACAAACTCCTTAATACCATGCCCAAAATGTAACAGCTGAAATACATTGTTTCTCCAAAAGCACCTTTTTCTTACCCTCTCGGAAGTCAGGTAGGCTCCTCTGTGGCTTGGCCCCTTCCATCTTTGTTAAGACTGGAGCAATCCCTAAATTCTAACCACCTTCTGAGTCGCCCTCTGAATTCCTCCATTATCTGCATGGATAGTAATCTGCTCTCTTATCTGTCTGCTTTTTGGCGTCTAATTTGCAGACGTTGGGTGGCCTGGGATACACGGGTCCTCTCTGACACTTTACTCCGACATGGATTTGAGGGTAAAGAGCAACAGCAAGGATAGAAAGTAACAGTCAAGGGGGGAAGCGCACACCCAAGGAGAGCAGGGCACTGACCTCTGTGGGGCCAGGGATGACATCCTACCGGCTGACTTCTGGCTAAGAGGACAGGAAGGACAGTGTTGCCTTCCATGTATGGGGCTCCTGACAGCTCATTTGTTGAAGTAACATGACTCAGGAACACAGAACCTGTAGGTGTGGCCCTGTGGGGTCACCACAAAGGAGACGTGAGCCAGAACAGTTGGCATTGATTGAGAAACATGGAGTCCAGAGGCCTGAGCACACCAGATAACTTTCTTAACTCAGGTTGTCAGCCACAAAAAGCCTCCAGAATTTTCACTATTGATGCTCAGGATTTCGAACCAGCTTTTCTTTTTCTCTGTGTGGTTTTGGTGCCTGTCCTAGATCTCGCTCTGTAGCCCAGGCTGGCCTCGAACTCACAGAGATGCTCCTGGCTCTGCCTCCCGAGTGCTGGGATTAAAAAGGCATGCACCACCACCCCACCGCCCGGCTTGGAACCAGCTTTTCAAGAATGGGCAGAACTGGAGGAAATTCAGTCAGCAAAGTCATGAGCTCAAAACCCAAAACACAGGACATAACTCCTCTCAAAAAAAAAAAAAAAAAACATGTTTTAGCCTGACATATTTCAGTTAACAAAAACAAAGGGAAACACTTGCCTCTTAATCAAGTCTGCCTGTCTCTCGCTTCCTATGACTCCTCCGCCATCACTATCCCATTAAGAGTCAGATTTGAGCTTAGAGCTCTGGGTCATCTTGCCAGAGCATTAGCTACTTTGCACACCGGGTAACCCTTGCTCCACAAGTAACAGGGTCGGTGGGAGTTGGGGTCCACAAACCTCAAGAATCAACAATTAGGAAAAGCCCAGGATGAAGACCAAGGGGGAGACTGGCCACAGCAAAGCCTCTATGAAATACCCAAAGATTCAAGGAACTGGAAACATGGTTCAGGTTAAGAATGCTTCCTATAGCCAAGAGTGGTGGTACATGCCTTTAATCCTAGCACTTGGGAGACAGAGACGGGGATCTCTGTGAGTTCCAGGGCAGCCAGGGCTGTTATACACAGAAACCCTGTCTCACAAAACCAAAAAGAAAGAGAATGCTTCCTAGGATTCTGGGGGATCCCAGTTCATTTCCTGGCACTGATGTGAGATAGCTCATAACTACCTGTAACTCTGGGGCTCCAGGGAATCTGATATCTTCTTCAGGCTTCCACAGACACACAGACATACAGATACAGACACACAGACACATACACACACACACACACACACACACACACACACACACACACACACACGTAACATATCCACACATGCACATAAATAAAAAAGAAATACTTTGAAAGGGAGGTCAAAGTGTGGAGTGCACACTGGGATACTGAGTGGGGGTGGTGGCGGCTCCTCTGCCCTTGTCCTAACTCACGGAGCTGTTCTGAGAATAGACCACTCTTCCAAAGCCTCCCCAGCTACTTGCTCTTGGGGTAAATGTTGACCTCAGTACTTCAGGAAGACGTCACACTGAAGCTAACTTTAGAGAGCATTTCCTCCCAACACTCACATCCCTGCTTCATCATAGAGGGCGGCACTCACCCAGCCTCTTCAAGGTATCTCCTACTAGGGGTTGGGGATTTAGCTCAGTGGTAGAGCGCTTGCCAAGCGCAAGGCCCTGGGTTCGGTCCTCAGCTCCAGAAAAAAAAAAAGATATCTGCTACTGCCCTAACCCCAGGGGTTGTACTCCACACTGACAGGACCTGCTGGTTTAGGACCTGCTGCCCCAGGGACCTGCACAGCACACCAGAAAGTAGCCCTTACCCTCTAAGCACACCCGGGCTCCTCTACCTGCTGCTAACTCATTAATGAGATCTTAAATTTTAACTTGACTAAGATATCAAAGTCAGAGAAAGAGATCAGTTCAGTGCATAAAGACTTACAATTTTTTGGAATGAAGTGTATATTAGAAGTAAATCTGTATGTATTAATGTGAGATGGAGAGAAGGGGAGGGGAAGAGGTTGGAAAGAAATTATTCAGTGCTTATCTGTAAAGAGAAAGAAAACCTGGAAGTTTCTGTTATGCATATGATTTTTTGTTTTGCTTTCTTAAGGTAATTTCTTAAGATTTTTTTTTAGTCAGTAAGTACAGAAAGAAAAAAAAAAAGAGTGCATTTTGACAAAAAGCCAAGGTAAAGAAAAACTAATGCAACTCATTAAGGCTTAACAGTGTTGAAAGTGCAACACCACCAAGAATGCAATGTGTGCCCAAGCATCTCAGGCTGAATTAAAGACATGTGCGGTAATGAGGGTTACACAGACTAGAAGGTCCGCTTGGCCTCTGAAGAAGGGGAAACAATAGCCAATTGGCTGAGAAGTGGGGGTGGTTCAGCCCAAAATGCAGATGGGGCGCAAACTTCACAAGCTGAAACAGAGGGTAACAATGGCAGGCCTTGGGAATGGCTCCTTCTCCGGCAAAGACAGCTTAAGTCCCCATTCAAGGAAGTTACCATGTTTTTTTAAAGGACTAGGTTACAGAGTATGAATGGAACCAATGTGTTTTTTGTTTTTAAGCGGAGATAGCACCAGCAAGGGGGAACTGAGGCAAAGAGAAGTAGGAACTTAAAAAGCAGGGAGAAGGTGACAGAAGAGGGAGGCGGAGGAAAAGTGGGAGGGGCAACAAAAATAAACAGATTTATAAGATGTGATGTGAGTTCGAGGACAGCCTGGGCTACAAAGTGAGTTCCAGGAAAGGCGCCAAAGCTACACCGAGAAACCCTGTCTCGAAAAAATAAATAAATAAATAAAAAGAATAAACAGTGTGAACAGACATCTAAAAACTCTCTCCATTGCCTTCACGGGAAGCGCCCCTTTCCACCCCAGATTCAGGGTCCCTGGGTAACTCACTGTCAAGAGACTGCAGGTCCACGTCCAGGGAAGGCTGCCAGGGTGTGAGCGACCACCCCAGTCACCGGTGAGTCACTCTACCAAGCCCTGAAGGGAGAGAGATGTGACACTGAGCAGAGCTGCGGAGTTCTGGACTCACCCTGCCAGATCTGCAATTAAGTTATCACCGAAAAGAGCAGTAACGTGAGGTAAGTCCCTTGCATATCAGTTAGTGACATTTAATGCTCCCGATGAGAGTTTCCCGGTTGAACTGCAGCCAAACAACTCGGAGCCCATATTTTATGAGATAACATTTGGTAAATCAATTACAAAGAAATCCATATGAGTGATTAAAATGAAACTTTGTCCGGTCCTTCATGAAAAGGCAGGTGGTGTAACGCCTCTAGCTCTTATTTTCTGGGTGGCCTGAGCTGTGCAAGAGTTCTGGGTCTTTCTTCCCGGCGCGGGACTGGACACTCTGGAAGGACCTGGAGGCAGGCGTCTGTTGGCCCTTCACCTGTTCATCCCTCATCTGCACCTCACCTGCTCGTCCCTCACATGCTCTCCTCACCCCTCCCCACCCCCACTCCACCCTTGCAGGCTCCGCGTCCAGTGTATTGCCAGCACCTTCGTCTGCTGAGAAGTCACCGGCGAGCGCCTGGGAGAGCATCCTGGACCTGGGAGAGCATCCCGAGTGCGGTGCTCGCGGGCGCCGAGCTAGCAGAGAGCTGCCGTCCGCCCACTTCCACCGCGCTCACCCGCCCGCTCCCGGCCGGGTCTTACCTTAGTAGCTGTCGTTCGGAGGCCCCCGGAGCTTCAGTCCTCACCTACAGGCAGGGAGAGCCGGCGAGGATCCCGCAAAGCCGACCACTCAGCGTTCAGTCCGGGCCAGGCGGCCGGCCGCGCGAATGGCTCGGAAGGCTGGAGAACGGTGAGAAAGGAGCAGCGTGCCAGGTCTTTTAAAGGAGGGAACGGGCCAGAAAGGAGAACCTAGATGGCCGCAAACACGCCTCCTGGTATCTGTCACCCGCAGCCCCGCCCAGGGGTCACCGCCCGGCCTCGACCCCGCCCGAGGGTTCAGATGACAGCACCCAGGGCCCGGTCGTCCAGACACACCCCGTGCGCACCTCCTCTGGCTCCTTTACCCTCTCCACTCCGAACCCGGAAAAGTTGCCGGGGAGCCTCGGCCTTCTAGTTTCCTTTCGTTTGGGGGATACCTGACCATTTGAAGCCAGAGCCATCCCTGTGACTCCATAGCGTCCCTTCCTATGGATGAAATCGTACCCAAGCTGCTAGCTCACCTGTTCACAGGCGAAGAAACGATCTGGAAGCGACTGTATGGCTACCCAAGGTCACCTCTAGGGCCGGGCCCAGGTCCATCTGTAGGGAAATGGTGAGGGAACGTGCCAGAGATGAACGGCCGCGTGGATACGGTCAAGAATGCAGAGCTGGGCTGTTGTCAAGTGTGTCCTTTCAGTATCTCGGGCCAGTTTCTGTTTCGTTTTGATTTTTTTTTTCCTTCCCCTCCTAGTCCCTCCTGATCCAGGGATATCCTCCGTAGTTGAGGGAAGGCCAGGGGAGCGCTTGCCCAGTAGGGGAAGTGACTCATTCATTCAGTCACAGCTATCTGGCAGAAGGCACCTCTGTCCTGCCCGGCGCTGTGACTCCCCCATCCCCCGCTGCCAGCCGGGCCTGCCAGTCCTCTCCTCACACAATTCCTAGCTTGGCTTCCCCAGCTAGCTGGCACTCTGGCCACAGGACAAAAAGGCTTAAGAATGGGGGGAGGGGGGCGGACACAGCCCAGCACAAACATTGTTTGCCTCCCACAAGCACCTAGGTTCCTGAGAATGGGCAGTAACAGAACTGCCCATGATCCTGCTCCAGGGAAGACTAAGGTCTCTCCAGTTTATTTCTAAGAATCTACAAGTGAAGCCCGATTTCAAGTATCAAGGACTTCTCAGTCACAAACTCTGCAAATGACTGAGCCTGAACACAAAATTGTATCCGCCGTTTTCTATGCCTACACTCTGAAACCAGCGTCATCAAAGACTGTGGGAGAGAGCAAAATCAGCGCCTTCAGAGCTCTGAGAGCCACCTCAGCTGTCTGGGTGAAGCAGAAAAACTCAAGGCTCAAGGTGGGGGCCGGTGGATCCCCAAAGCAAAGGAGGGGGCCTATCTAAGACCAGGCAGCACCATAGAATGACGCCCCGTTACTGTTAATAACAAAACCTGAGAACAAATTCCAACTGCCCACAGTCATCCAAAGCTAATACTATTTCAGAGAATAACCAGGGTATGCCCCTCAACTTCTGCTCTTTTCCCATTCCTGGTCCAGATGCTGGTGCCAGCTGCGCCTCCAGTGAGTGTAAAGATGGGTGTGAGAACAGCCTGAACTCCTGTACCAGAAGAGGAACTTTCTCCCAGGAAATGATTCTGTTATCCTACCCCATCACTAAATCTACATATGCGAATTTACAGGCTTTTGTGTCCGCTTTCCTTTGTGTTAATTGTAATTCTAGTACAGGCAAAAGAGGAAGAAAGGCTCCCCACCCCCACCCCACCCCGCTTTCTATCGAACTCAGGTTCAAGTATAAATAAAATTATTTGCCTTTTTTTTTTTTTTTAACAAATTTCTGTCTCTCTGCTTATCACCTAAGTTTCACACAGCAAACTAGAGGTTCTGGTTACAGTCTGTATCCAGCACCTATGCAGCTTTCTAGAGCTCTATTCCAGGACAGAAAGTCCCCTCCCCGTGAGCTGGTTTCTAGAATACCCCTCATTGAGGGCAGACATTTTCAAACAGCCAGCTGGCCGTATTAGGTGCGGCCGCAGCGGGTAACAGCCAGCGTTTTTATTGTTAGTGGGAGTCAAAGGAAAAGCTCCCTCGGCTTTGCGTGCAGAAGGGCACGTACTGCTGTGTCACACAAAGTAACAGGCTGTCCACAGCTGAAGGTAAGACTACTATCTTACTCAGTCACACCCTGCCCCCTCCCGCAGCTCAGAGCGGCTCGGAGCTCCAGCCCTGGGGACTTCTTGCCAACCTCATGAGGCACGAAATTCCATGGCCTCCTGTCCTCCCGATGACTGGCCCTTCGATGGAATCCAAATAACCAAGGCGCCGTTAGTAAGGGCTACACATTTGAAGGTGGAGACTGCCCAAGCAGCGTAGCTTTGAAGAAACAGGGATGATGGAGTCTCCCGGGAAACTTGATGAATTGTGCTCAGAAATGGGACGGATGCTGATGGTTGGCTTGCACCTCGGGTTATTGATTGACTTTTGGGAAACCTGACTGGCAAGATGTGGCATTTTCCAGGTGGGATGTCTGGGAGATTCACCTAGCCTTGGAGCACTTGGTGAAGCTGCATCAGCGAGTTGTTGGAACACTGCTGGGTTCAGTTTGCTTACTACAAGGGAACAAAGCTGTTCTGCAAGGTGGTGGGCTGAGATGCGCTTTTCTATGTATGTCATAAGGAATGAGTCCTTATCAGATTATATCCTCTAACTCTCGATCGTAAATGAGAATTCAGTGCCCATAAGATACTTCTTTAGGGCTGGAGAGATGGCTCAGAGGTTAAGAGCACTGCTTGCTCTTCCAAAGGTCCTGAGTTCAATTCCCAGCAACCACATGGTGGCTCACAACCATCTGTAATGAGATCTGGCGCCCTCTTCTGGCCTGCAGGGATATGTGCATCAGAACACTGTATACATAATAAATAAATCTTTAAAAAAAAAAAAAAGATACTTCTTTAGGCCGGGTGGTGGTTTAATCCCAACACAAGAGGCAGAGGCAGCTGAATGTCTGTGAGTTCGAGACCAGGCTGATCTACAAATCAAGTTCTAGGACAACTTGGCTACATAGAGAAACCCAGTCCTTTTGAAAATACAAGTTTAAAAAAAGGTGGGTGTAGTGGGGCACATCTTTAGTCCCAGCTCTCAGGAGACAGAGGCAGGTGGAGTCCACACCAATTTCTATCATAGATAATCTTCAAAGGTATGTTGATAGAAACTAAGGGATTGGTGACTATGTCCTATCAGGTCAGAAACCAGTTTAGGAAAAGAATTTGGTGTGTCAACACAGGGAACCTAGGGCAGGGTCAGGCTCCCTCGCATGCCTCCCTCCTTCAGTCTGTTGTCATTATCTAAACCAAGACCTGCTTAGGATCGCTTGGAGCTCATTCTGCAGAAGCACTGTTTTATTCCTTTAGGTCTAATTAAAGGTCACCTCGAAGACCTTCCCAGCCTGGGGTTAGCCTACCGTTCCACCCTTGGAATTCAAACTCTTAGGCCCCCCTTTGATTTGTTGATAAAGGTAATTGTGAAGTTGCATGAATAATGCAAAGGGGTCCTTGTGGCCCTGCCCCCCCCAATTCCTCCCAATAAAAGCATCTCATAAGCAATAGGAGGTTGTCACAGGACTGTAACATCATGCAGGTTGGCTGAGTTTTTCCTGTACTCGGTTTTGTCACATCCGGGATGCCACCATTCAAGACACTAAAGAGTTACATTTACAAAGGACCCCTCATGCCGTTTTCTCATACCCATATCCATCCTCTCTCCCATTCCCCCTCCATCCACCACAGACCTGAGCCTGCCTCTGTTCTCCTGTCCTTCATTCCTATGAATTTTGTCATTGCAAAAAAGAAAACGTTGCATTCTCAGAAACTACCCAACTTGTCAGAACGGACTTTTTTTCACCTGACTTAATTCACTAGAGCTTGCTGCCACAAATGAGCTGAAGGAGCCCTTTCCTCTTCATTTCAGAGCGGTATTCCACCGTGGAAGGAAGCATGACTGCTGAGCCGGTTCCTTCCTGTTAAAGGGAAACTGAACAGTTGTCTGTTGGAGAACATTAGGAGTAAAGCTGGCAAACAGGACATAATGGCACACACCTTTAATCCCAGCACTCCCACAGCAGAGCAGGAGGATCTCAATGAGTTCAAGACCAGCCAGCCTGCTCTACACAGACAGTGAATTCCAGGACAGCCAGAGCTACCTAGATAGACCCTGTCTCAACAAAACAAAACAAAACAAACAAGAAAGAATGATGCTGGCGTAACATTCCGAATCCCTGTTTCGTGTCTGAAAATAAGCTCTCCTTGCTCTGGGATGGATGGGAATGTGGCTGCTGCCTTGTACAGTAAGTGATGCGCAGTCTGACAGTGGACTCTTTTCATCCCCACCAGCAATACCTGGACCATCCAGTTTCTCCACACCTCAGCAGCATCCCATGTTGTCATCACCATTTCATCCAGATCAGTGGGTGTGCCACAATATCTTATCCTGGTTCAATCTGCACTTCCATAATGGCAGAGGACAGACGCTAGGCATCTCCTGATGTGCTTGGGGACATCTGGTTTTTTCTCTCCAGTGAAATATTTGTTTGTATCTTTTCCCGGTTTCTGATTGTATGTTTTAGGTTTTCTTGTTGAGATTTGAGGGTTCATTCTATATTCTAGTTGTGAATTCTGTATTCAATCTGTTGCTTGCAAATACTTCCTCCCAGTGGGTGGCTTACTGTTTTATCCTCTTTTAACAAACTGTCATGGAGCAAAACATTTTGTCAGCATTTGAGCTCATTTTATTTGGTCCCACTATGAATGATACTTTCGTTAGCAATCTAAGAATGCTTTTCCTATCTCTGAGAATTTTGCACCATATGTTTTTCTGAAACTTTTTTTTTTCCTGGATCTCACTCTGTAGACCAGGCTGGCCTTGAACTCACAAAGATCCTCCTGCCTCTGCCTCCCGAGTGCTGGGATTAAAGGTGTGCGCCACCACTGCCCGGCGTTTTTCTGAAACTTTAATAGCTGTATAATTAACATCTAGGTTCACAGTCCATTTTCAGGTGTGATGACTATATGAATATTGTAGGCTGTCTGTCTGTTTTGCCTGTGGCGATCTAGCACCATTTGACGGAAAGACTATCCTTTATTGGATTGTTTGGCATCTAACGGAATTTAGTTAAGCATACTTTTGTGCAGCTGTGGGGGGAGGGGTTCCCTCCAGTAGCGAAAGTATCTTCCCACTCTCAATACTGTATCCTTTCCACTCCTCCCTCCCCTAAAACTTAATATTGGGAAATGGTTTTCCTAGCTGGCTCTTCCTTAAGGTTTTTGGTTTTTATCTCTTCTAGTGTATGAGCTATGTTAATTTTCCAATGACATTGTCTATTTGTTGAAACCTATACCAGGGTTTTGATAAGGACTGTGTCAAACTTTGGTCACGTTGAGTGGTGCCCGAGACCCTTGGTTTCTTGAGTTCTCTTTGTGAGCAGATCCAGAGCTGCCCACCTTGTCCACTAGCAAGAATCCTGCTGAGTTGATATTATGCTTAGTTACGATTTGAGTGTGTCCACATTCTGTAAGCTTGGTTCCTAGTGTAGTGATGTTGAGGTAGTGGAACCTCTGAGAGGTAGTGCCTGCCCTCAGGAGGGGTGACGCTGATCTACAGAACAGATTTGTTCTAAGAACAAGTGTTGTACTCGTTTCTCGAAACCCCCAGAGATCACCAAGGAACCGGTTTCCGATGAAAGCACATAAGGGTCCTTTTATTGTCAGGTTCAACCTGGGCCACTGTACAGCAGACGGAAGGAAATGTGGCGGCGGCCACGAGCCCAGGTGTAGAGAGTTTTTATAGGGAAAAACCACAAGCTGGGAATTACATGCTTGGGATTGGGCAGAAGGGATATGAGGCAAAGTGATTTTTTGAAACTATTGGTCTAGACTTTCAGCCGAAGCCACATTTGAAACTTTTAGATTGTACTTTTGGCGGGAAATTACAACCTGCTGAACAGGATTATCTGGACTGCTCAGCAAGATTATCTAGATAGCTTCAAGGGCCATAAACCACAGACAGAATGTCAGCAGGAGCATACTGCTCTGTATCTGTTTGTACAAGCCAGAGGTTTCAACTGAACAGTAAGTGAAGTATGGTCTTGTTCTTTAAATGTGTGCCTTTCTTACACTGACTATGTGTATCTTCTTGCTCTTCACTCTTAACTAGTCTTGCTAAATGGTTGTTTATTTTATTAACCTATTTTTGGTTTCGAACCTAGACTTTAATGGCTGAGCCATCTCTCCAGCCCTTCTTAGCCTATTTTTAAAAAGCAAGCATTGCATTTACTCCATTGTTTTCTTATTTTTAATATTATTGACTTCAGTTCTGATTTTTCTGTTTTAAATACAGGACCCAAGCAGGCCTCAATTTTTTTTGTTTTGTTTTGTTTTCTTTTGTTTTGTTTTGTTTTGGTTAATAAAATAAACAACCATTTAGCAAGACTAGTTAAGAGTGAAGAGCAAGAAGATACACATAGTCAGTGTAAGAAAGGCACACATTTAAAGAAAACAAAACAAAACAAAACAAAATTTTGTTTCTTGAGACAGAGTTTCTCTGTATAGTTCTTGGTGCCTGTCCTAAATCAGGCTGGCCTTG